TTGAGGTCTCAAATATCGGTGGTAACTTAGTTGAGGGGAAACCCGTGGCGGCGTGGCGCTCTGTTCTCTGTTCCTCAAGGCTTAGTCCGCAATGGCGAAACGTCTCCATTCGTCCCTGTCGCGTGCTAGAGTGGTCCAGTGGACCCTCCTCGCTCGAGGGACACGATGTCCTTCATTCCTTTCGTTCAGAGCTTTCGTGAAGAAGTCTGACCATCGGGCCGGCGGTCGTCCAGGTGTTCGTTTGACGTCCCGAGGGATCCAGTCGGTAACCGCTCTGGTCCAACGGTCATCGCAAAATCGCATGACGTGTCCGGCCCACCTTATCTTCGATTCCTTGGCGAAAACGGCAGCGTCCCTGATCTTCGATCGTTGGCGTAGTTCGGCACTCCGGATTCCCCTCTGCACTTGCGTGTATAGGGTTACTCCTAGCATCGTCCTCTCGACAGCGCGTTGGATAAGTCCATGTCCGCTGAGGCGTAGGTTAGGGCAGGAAGGACAGCGGAATCGAACTATGGAATTGTTCATGTAATGTTGCTTGAAAAAAAATCAAAGTCGATCTCTCTGAATAGATGTGTAACTTTTGCCGTGTCTAAATACGTGTTAATCCTCACCACCCGTGTATACAGTGCGTTTCATAATTATAAGGTCACCCTAAATATTTTGCATTTCCGGAACAAGCAGGCGACGGGAATTTTTCTAATATCATCATCTGATTCCTCACCATGAATAACCTCTGTCGCAATTTTGGCGGAGCAGCTTTTCTTCGAACTTTTTTATAATTATTTTTCGGTTTTTGCACCGTTTCATAATATAAGGTCACCCTGAGAAAAAGAACAATTACCTAAGATTAATGACAGATAAAAAAGACATAATAATATGGTTCCTCCTATCAAGGGCAACATCAAATAGCCTCCATGGCGTACTGGAATTGAGATTCCGAGTCAGGTGAACATCGATTCACATGCGTGCTTCAAGGGTACATGTTTCAGCTCTTTTGTAGTTTGGTGTTTATCCGCATGATACTCCATGACGATGATGTTTCTGAGATATTCTGTCGAAAAGCGACCCGAACTACAGGATAATCTTTTTAGATCGTCTGGATTTGGGGAGTGCTGTAGCTCCTGGTTGACTGAATAACATGAGTACCTGTAATGTTCTGTGAGAATAAGTAGTGTAGACACGTCTTTGGCTCGAGAAAGTAACCAAACTCCTTTGAAAGGCTCTACAGTTTTCTTTGGAGCCCACTATGCAGGTCATGGAAAGAATTTCCGGCACAACATCATTACAGTAAGCGCCATCACCTTTCACATTTCCTTCACTAGAATCGCGAGCGCTGAAATGAGCCGGCCACTTTGGCGAGTCACGCAAAAGCGTTCAATCCACGGAAACTGTTTGTGTAGACCACCTTTATCCGAAAAATACCAAGTTAACCGAAGTTGTCTCGTTTTGTGGTGCGATTGCGCCGCAGGCCCAAATTTGTCCAATCTCTCTCTAAGTTCAACTTTACGGATTGAAGTTGTTATTCCTCGCAATGGCCAGTAAGCCTTTGACCATCTTTGTCGCTTTCCTGACAATGTCGCTGCATCTTTCACCGCTCTCCAGTTCTTATTTTTCCGAGATAGAAACATTAAATTACGAACGACGCTAATTTCAAGAGGAAATACTGTTTGGGACAGCCCTCATAACTCTTCTCTAATCATTGATAGGGACCTTTTGTGGATATCAAAGCTTGTAAAATATCTGAAGACATAGGAAGCTCTTCAAATATCTATGAATAGAGCAAGGGATTTTCCGAACTGCTTGGCAATGGCTCAAGAACCGAGTCGAGCACCACGAAATGCATAAATCTGTTTTTTCTTTAGGAGACGAATACCAAACAAAAGCTCACTGGTAGAATGTTTAACGTTTTTGCTGCTTGATCAAAAATGTAGAAAGCTGAAATTGCTTTGTCTTGATACAATGAATCTGTTTGAAATCATTTTCAGGAATATTCAGCGAACTGAAGATTAATAGTTGCGGATCGTTAGAGGCTGAAGGAGCTATTCTACTATTCCTGACCATAATAGGAAGAAATTTGTTGCAACTGGAACGCTTAACCTCATTGCGCTATTTTTTTCTGGTTAACCGACCTTGAAAGCCACCAATGTAAGGGCAAAGCTCACCACTCACTTTAGCTCTGCCGGAGGTAACCCTCTCATTAGGAATGAGGAACACAGTTCCTCAAGTTCTTTCATTTAGGTTTTGGGAAGTTCATTGGAGCAGATTTGATATCTACCGTCTAGAAATCAATTTTTGAAGGTGCCTCCGCACAACAAGCATTTAAATGGATCTCATCATTGATTAGAGCTAAAAACTTGCATGCTAGGAAAGTAACCGCCTAGGAATTGTAGGATGTTTCAACATCAGTGCCGCTTTTAGAGGTATACAAAATTCAATGGAACAGCAACAATTGGCACCTCAGTACAAGATGAGAATGCTACCTCACTGTGTCAGGAATCGCTATTTCTTATGCAGAGACTCGGCGTATTTCTCGGAGAAGCGTAGGAATCGTGCAGATGAAATTGGACCCTCAGAGTCAAAAAATTTTTTG